AAAATAAGTTCAATGTAAGGTTTGATGTAGCTTATTTTTTTACAAAAAAAAGATTACTTGCAATCAGTGTTCTAAAATTTTCTGAGTTTAACCATACATTTGTTTACATGTCTTTCCAAGTCATAGCATAGAGATATAATATTTCCACATAAAATAATTGCAGCATATTATTCTGCAGTATGGTTACACTGTATATTATTTAATCTCTAGGATTACAAATGAAAGTTTATTTCAATGACTTCTAATCATAAATAAAGACCACAGTGAAAATCTATATGTAAATTTGCACAGTGCAATATTGTTGTGAGATCAATTCCTAGAAATATAGATGTAGTGCTCAAGATAAAAAACCTGAATAGATAATGCCACATCAAGCTAGGTGTAGTCAGTGCATTTTATTGTATGTACCTCAATTTAAAAATAATAAATTTAACAATTGAATAATGCCAAATCACCATTACAAATATTGTAAATATTTACACATCCAGCAAAATTGAAAATGTATATTTTAATACTTTAATCCACATAATGTATGTCACTCCTTGTATTCTTTGCCAGTCAAAGAAGGTAAAACAAAGCAAGTTTAAACATACATGTATTTGAAAATGACAAGAGTAGAATAATTGAGCATACATTCAATGACTAGTAGTAACTCTTTTCTTTTGTTTTAATTGCCTCATTATTATTTGCTGCCAATTTTTCTATTGAGCCCAGTGTTTTAGAAAATTTACAAACCATAATTCCACCTCTAGGAATTTACCTGAAGAAAACAAAATTTTTTATTTGAAAAGGTAGATGCACCCTTATATTTATTGCCACATAATTTGCACTAGTACAGAAACAACCAAAGTGCCTATTCTTGTTCCCATTGGGGAGTTTACCATCTTGTAATATTTTGATTTGTACCCATTTCTATATTCTTTGTTAGACAGTGATTTTTGGAAGGAAATGAATCACATCATGCTAATCTTTATTCTCAGGAATTTAAGTGAAAAATTAAAGAAAATGGAAACAATCTTCATGGGAGTAGCTTACAAAGTGGTGAATTTGCTTTGACCTGTGGGAGACTCTCTTCTCTGTCATCTCTTTTCCTGAAAAGGTCCCTGATCTCTACACACAAAAACAGGCAAAAGGAGAAAAATGATCATTATTAGCTAACACACTGGCTCCACATTTCAGTACGCAGCTAGCAGGTGGAGCACGTGAAAGGCCAATTGCTTTTCCTAAATTCAGTTGAATGGCCTAGAAATAAGTAAGGAGGATATGAGCCCAGATATCTCTTTGCATTGTTCCATTGATCTCTTGCCTCTACTGTATCAACACCCTTCAAATCTGAGTCTTGAATTGTCATCATTTTAATTCACGTAAAAGCCAATCCACCCACCCACCCACCCAATCAAACAAATGAAACCATTTCTTCCAATTGCCTTAAGCTCCCAAATGATTTTATTGTCCTGGATCATAGTTCCCTGGAATTAGGGTTCTCCTAATTACCAGCCTGAACTATTTTCCCTAATTGGAGCCATTATGGGAATGATTGTTTTCCCACTTGTGTAGAAGTCCCAGGAGAGTCATCTTCCCATTCTGGTTATACTCAGCAAGAGATACGCAACTTACGGGGGCGGGAGGCAGGGAGGGAGAGAGTTCTAGAGGGGGAGTCAGATGTATACATCACTGAATGATGAAAGAATCACAGCTTAGATGAAAGACTCAGAGGAGGAACACAGAAGGGCCAAAGAAATCTGCCTTAGTAGCACTGTGTGGCTGAGTACATGGTATTTTTTCCAACTTTGGAACCCAACACCAGCAAGGTCAGTGAATTACCTTGTGTGGGGACATGGGAGATACCCAGAGCAAGAACAGCACACCTGCAGGACAACAGAGAGCCCTAGTATGCACGCACGTAGGAATTGTAACAGTTGGGAAGGTGTTGAGCAAGGAGATATCAGAAGATATTGTTACAGAGCAAGTTAATAGAAAGCGTAAAGGCCGTTCTCCCTGGCCTGTCCTTGAGTCTCCGGATGGTCTGCACTCTGTACCTGTCTGTGCCCGAGTCTCCTCTTCTTATAAGGACACCAGTCCTTTCAGATTGGGGCCAATCCTAGTGAACTCACTTTAATTATCTCCAAATACAGTCACATTCTGCAGTACCAGGGGTTCGAACCTCAATATATACCTTTTGGGGTGACATAGTTCATCCCACGATAGAGGGGGGTGGCAGGTCTGGGTCACGATGAGGCTCCTAAGTGGGGGTGATGTAGAGCAGGGACTTGGGCATCATGATTAACTTTCTTGTCTGTGATGAAAAATGCCAAGACATAAACAGTATAGTCAGAACAGGAGGGACTCCATCTTAAGGCTAAGATTCCGTTTTAAGAACCAGGAAGTTAGGAGGTAAGATTCCTAACATATTCTTTGCTAATCAGCCAACCACCTATCTTAAGGCAGGGGGAGCAGTCCTAAGGGATATGTTCCCAGTTCTTGAGGGTAACCACTACTTTAGAGAAGAACAGGATCAATAAATTCCTTGTGTTAATTTTTTCTTACAGAATTATCTAGAGGACTGACTGTGGGTGGTGACATAATGCCTCTCACGGAAGAGAGACATCATGAGACCACACATCAGGCCTATGGTCCCCTCCCCGCCCTTTGCCCATTCCTGAAAGCCTTTAAAGACAGAATCCTAAGCCCTTAAGAGTGCCTCCTCTCTGATGTTGCCCACACTCCCCTTTTTTCAAGTGTGTACTTTTTGTCCTCAATAAAGCCTTCTCGCTTCTCAACTTACTGTGCTTTGTCTCTGTGCTCTTCCGCTGGTAAGTGTCTTTGTCACTGTGCTATTTCATTCTATTTTCCAGACGTAAGCACAAGGCTTTACTCTGTCTCTGCTCTATTCCAGGTAAGTATGGAGGAGGTGCTGAGAGCTCTGATTTGGGCTTGTAAGTTCCTGTCACCTGGGTGACCTGGACAGGACTGCAGCTGTACAATCAATCATGCTCTTTAGTAGCCTGCCACAAATTCTCCCTTCATTCCGTTTGGGTAATTCTCAGAACATAATCTCACTCCATCCAGTCCTCTGTGGCTCTTCCAAATCCTGGTGTACAAGGGACTTGCCCCCATGCCAGGCAGATTCAAGTGGACACTGGATGCCAGGTGACGCTGGCTTTAGGAGTTGGCAAAGGATTTACCTTATGCCAAGCAGAAATTCCACATGCTTCCCTTTCTTTCCTTTGCTCTTCCTTGCTGTCTGCTTCCTGCAAGGCAGCTGCCATTCATTACTACTCTCGCTTTAATGAATTGCTTCCTTACGTATAATTGTTCAACCTTCTCATGAATTCTTTCTCTATCAGAGTCAAGAACCCTCTCCTGGGTTGAGGCCTCACCTCGAGCGCAGGGAGGTCTCCCTGGATTGGATTGCTGGCCCTGAATAAAATGTGGGGCTCAAGAGGGAACTCCAAAGAAGAAATTCTGGAGTCACATTAATTAGTGAGAGTGGAAGGCCAACAGAAATTGCTAATATTGAATAAATGAGATCTCTGTGTGGAAGGAAATGTGGAATGAGAAACCAAACACAAAAATAGAATTTTGTATTATCTCCCTACTTGAGAGTAGAAGACAGAATAGCCAATGAAGGAAACCAGGAGAGTGTGATGCCAAATAAGCAAATGAAAGAAAGATTTTCAAGGATCAGGTTAATTGACCCTTGGAGGTTAGTGGCAATGAGGACAGAGGACCCCTGAATTTCAGTCCGAAAGTGACTGGTGTATTTTGAGGAAAGAGATATGGAAAGTTGAGAGCAGATCATTGATTCAAAGAGATTCGGGAGGGAATGAAGACAATAAATATGAGGAAAACCAACATTAAATATTAGGACTATGAGAAGAGACAGCGCTTTTCTCTCAAGATAAGATTTGTGCATATTTGATGACAGAAGAGAGGAAATCTATAAAGTAAAACAAATGATTCTGAAAAGTCCTGAACAAATAGTCTTGAACATATTGTATTTAAACTGTATTCTACACAACCTTACAGCTCTCTCCACCCAGCCACCCTGTACAATTCTACTACAGAAGCTCTGTATTTACTGCTTATCATATTCAGTTTCCATTAATTCTTTCATTTGACAAAATACATCTGAGATCTACATTTCTAGAAGATGGAGCGGGAAAGGATGGGAGGAGGCAGAATGGCCCAACCTTAAAAAAAAGGAAAAGTAACATGAAAATGCTACGGGTTTTCTCCTCTGAATAGTCTCTGAATCATTCTTATATGTAATCATCATTATACACACACACACACACACACACACACACACACGCATGCACGCACAAAAGAAAGGATGTGTTTTTTAGAGGCAAAAAGGGGATAAAGAATGTGGAAATTCACTATTGATGGTTTGTCTTTGTCATTAAAATATTCAATTAAATCATATGCCAAGAATCAGACAAGGAATTAGGAGCTTGAAGAATTTTGAAACAGCTGTGAGGAGATTGTTAGAGAATCAGTAAGACTTGATTATGGGAAAGAGCATTACTTTGCTATTCTTTCACTGACTTGTCTACTTCTATATTTGTCTAAACATAGTGGTTTTTAAATTCCATCCCCTGACTAGCAATATTAGCACCATCCATAAATTTCTTAGACATGCAAATTCTTTGGCGCTATCCCAGACCTACTGAACTAGAAACTCTCAGAGTGCAGACCAACAATCTGAATTTTAACAAGCCCTCCAAATTGTTTAAATGTATGATTTGCGAATCACTGGTCTAAAATATTGATAGGGTATTTTTCTGACGGGATATTTTTCCATGCTGCAAATTTAACTGCAAGCTCCTATGGAATGGGGAATATTTCCTTTTTCCTGTGTTTTCCTCTGCATCTCCAACACAGGGACCTCTCCAGAGGCTGGCATTTGGAAAGTGGAGTCACTCTGTGACCCATAGTGGACATCTCCTAGAAGGCGGAGTGCGCTGGGAGCTGAAATCCTCGTTGCCTACCTGGAGATGGAGAGCCCCAATCAAACCGCTGCTCAGGAGTTTGTCTTCACTGCTTTCCCTTATTCCTGGGGAGATTCTGTCCTCTGTTTCATTCCGCTGCTTTTCATTTATGTTTTCATTGTTTTTGGAAACCTGGTCATCATCACCGTGGTCCGGCTGAATGCTCACCTCCATACTCCCATGTACTCCTTTATCAGCGCCCTTTCTCTCCTGGAGATCTGGTATACCACAGCTACCATACCGAAGATGCTCTCCAGCCTGCTTAGTGAGAAGAAGAGCATCTCCTTAAACGGGTGTCTTCTGCAGATGTATTTCTTCCATTCCACAGGCATTAGTGAGGTTTGTCTCTTGACAGCTATGGCCTTTGACCGCTACCTGGCCATCTGTAGCCCCCTTCATTACCCTTCTATTATGACCCCCAAACTGTGTGCTCAGATGACTCTCGGTTGCTGTGTGTGTGGCTTTCTCACACCCCTCCCCGAGATCGCCTGGATCTCCATGCTGCCGTTTTGCGGCTCTCGTCACCTCGAGCATGTCTTTTGTGACTTCCTCCCGGTGTTACGTCTGGCCTGCACAGACACACGAGCCATTATCGTGATTCAGGTGGTGGATGTTGTCCACGCGGTGGAGATTATAACAGCTGTGATGCTCATTTTCATGTCCTATGCTGGCATTGTGGCTGTCATTCTACGCATTCGTTCAGCTGAAGGACGTCGCAAGGCGTTTTCCACGTGCGTCTCCCACCTCACCGTCTTTTTGCTCTTCTTTGGCAGCGTGGCTCTCATGTACCTACGCTTCTCTGCCACCTACTCCTTATTCTGGGATACAGCCATTGCTCTGGCCTTTGCAGTTTTGTCCCCCTTCTTCAATCCCATTATCTATAGTCTGAGGAATAAAGAGATAAAGGAAGCTATAAAAAAGCATCTGGGTCAAGCTGAAATCTTTTTCCTTAAGACCAGGGGCTTCAAATAAGGCCCAGTAATTGGGAGGCTGTACTGTTCCTGGTGCCTGTTCCTCCTCAATGCTCTGAAGTCTGCCTTCTCCCATCATCTGACACTAGTCTTCCAAACGTCATCGAAAAACAAAATTCACTAAAAACCGAATTCAATGGTTTCTTTCAACCTTTATCCAATTTGACATATTTTTGGATCTGACTTTGTTAAGTAAACTTTCTGCCACACAGTTTATTCAAGATAAATTTGTTTTATGGAAACGATCTGGGTAAACATTTACTTTAATTTTTACCAGTCAAAATATTTGTAAGATACAGTAATTGAAACATCATCTTCAGAAGACTAAGCTCTGTCCATGGTACTTCCAATTAATATATTTGGATAATTACCCTAATTTCTACAGTGAGTATTCATGTGTTGATAAATAACAATTTAGACTTCCTTCAGTAGGTCTGTTACAAATCCCCTTACATTGGTGCCTTGACAGTACCGCGCAGTATTATTTGGTGTCTAGGTTGGTAACGGATATCAACACGATCTTCGTGTATCCAATCAGCCTGCATGAGTTGAGCTAGTGGAACCCTCTGTGCCGAACATCAGATTAGCCTTGGTAATCTTGTGACCAAAAGAAACCAGGAAAATGGTAGGCTTCTGTTAGACTGACAGAGAAGGAAACCCTGTAAAGTGGTTAATTGCAGTTAAGGAACATAGCATCAAATCTCAGGCCATGGGGGTCATTGAAGAATACTTTAAATGCAAGGAATGCACAAATAAAAAACATGGCACTAGTCTATTCATTAACTAGTCAGTATTTTTTCATGATAAATCAAAAAAATTTAATCTTTGTTTCCACTGTAGTCCAATGTATGGTACTTATTAATTACACAATGGTATCAATAAATGCCCGCTGAATGTATGAACCAGTCCTGCCATGCTGCATTCCAGTCACTCCAGCCCAACGGACAATTCTCCCCTTTTCAGCTGCACTTCTCTTGGTTTTCAGGATGCTGGATATCTTTTGTTCTGCTTTGTTTGAGGGCTTTCTCTTGCTGACTTCTCTTATAAGTGTCTTATTAAGGGTGATTTTTCCAAAGCTCACGGCTAAGATGGGATGCGACCAAGCTTATTATGCAGATGTTAGCAGATTTCCCCTTTTTCTGAGCCCACCTACCTGCGTCCTGTAGTTGTCTGGCTCAGTTCCCCACCACTGTGGCACAGCCGTCCCTTCATCCTCACCCCTAAATCTTATGATACTCAAAAAAGTAGGATGGAAAGGTGGAAGTGAAGGGAAAGTTCTTATTAGAAGAGGCTAATGCAGTCTAATAGAGTTCAGATGGAGAAGACAGGGGAAAGGAGAGGAAAGTCCTTGGCCGTGGGTGGAGACATCTCGGTGAGAGTCTCCAGAAAACGCTTGGTATAAGAAAATGAGGGAAGAGAGAAAAGGGGATACAAGATACATTGCTGGGTTTAAGTAGTGTATCTGCTTTTAATGTTCTTCAAAAGATATGCAGAATGGAATGACTTTACTGATTGACTAATTTTTTAATCGTACTTTTCTGAGTTCAACATTGTTACAAAATTGATACACATAAATCTCCAGCGTATGAACAAGTTACACAATTTTCTTATCTGTTCTCTCCATTTTAAAATTTTGTATTAAACAATCGTTTCCTAGATACTGTCGATATTCCTAAAAACTAATATAGCTAAAACTACCTCTTTCACCTCCATACTTTCCCACCTCCGAGTGGCTCCCCCAGCTGAGACTGAGTTACTTCTTCAAACTTAGATCTGATCGCTTTACTACTCTGCTTAAAAACCGTGTATGATCAAACCCACCCTCACTCGAAATTGTGAATGTAAAGTAATTTCACTTGCTGGTGTGTGTGTGTGTCTGTGTGTGAGTGCATGTGTTTGTTGAATAAAGAAAATTTCAAGCTGAGGGGAAAACAAAAGAAAAGGAAACAGAAAAAGAAAGTTCATGGTGTTCTGACCATGAAAATATGCTCTTCATGAAGATACAAGATTTCCTTGTAATTGCAATTTCCTTGTAAATATGCTCTTGGTGAATACACAGGATTAAGGAGACAGGTACCTTCTGTCTTGGAGAGCACAGAAGCCACTAACTCATTCTTGTTAACTTTAGGTATATTTATTTTACCACCAATTGTGCTGCATTCATTGATCATATTTGTGCTTGTAATAGTATAATAACATTTTGTATTTCACAATTGTTATTATATATATCAATAATAGCAATACAGTTTTCTATTTATTGGGTGCTTACTGTACTTAAGACATTGTAATAAATGTCTCCTATACATATGTCACTTTATAATAATTCTATGCAATAGGTATTATATCATTCTTGTTTTATAGGTGAGGAAACTGTGACTTATAGGGGTTAATGCTTTGTTTAGGGACATACAAATAGTAAGAAGCTGAGCCCTAATTTGAACCCCATTCTATCTTACTTCAAAAGCCTTGTTCTTAACCACCATGTTCTATTTCCTAATAATGTGTCTATATTCTCTAGAAAACAGAGAAATAGAGAAGACTTGCTTTTCAGCAACTGTACAGCATAAACCATCACTGAAGTTTCTGTTAGTGCTATTAAAATACTTCCTTTCTTTTTTTCAAGAAACTTAAAAAACATTACCTACTATGTGTAGGTGCATGTCATAAATGTTGGAATAATACTGGTACAAGGTATAGTCTCTAATACCCAGAATGTCAGACTCAGAATGTAAGAAACGGAAAAAGTGGAATGCTTTCCTCAACCAGTAAGCAACCACCTAACCCTATTTAGAGTTAAAAAAAAAATCGGCATGCCTAAGATTAGCAAAGGTCTCTTCTAAGTGGTAGGACTGAATGAAATGCTTTATTAAAATATGAAGCTGGCTTAACATTTGCTCCTCTCTATGATATGCATGATGGAGTTCAGCTATGTGACTCTTTGAATCACCAAACAAGGTAAATAAAGAACTATTTGCATTGAGGAGGACATTAGTAAAGTGAGGGCCAATAGAAACCAGAAAAACATTTCCCAGGAATTTCTCAGCATCAGCTGCTGCTGGAAGTCTGACGACTTCCATTGTTTTACATTGAATTCCCACCTCCCCTCCCCATACACTTTCTAATCGGCGCTTTGTCATTCTCGGAAAACAGCAACGACGGAATCAAAGACGTGTTCTAAATTGAGCAGTGAAAAGACGTTCACGGATGCTCCAGACTTTATGTTGAAAGTCTACCTCCCCTTGCCCCCTGCAAATACTTGGAGTCTCAGAAGAGGCTGAACTGAGCACGAGGGCCATTTGTCATCTCCCCGTCCTGGTCAACACTCAGGACCCCACAGTTCCAAGTGGTGGCTGTCACATCTGTGGGTTCATCATACACAGATGTGTATGCAACCTGCCACACTGCGGGTCAAAAAAGATGGAAAATATCTTCCGGAGCTCTGCTGCAATCTCAAATCTGGCCTGCATGCACACCAGCAGCGTTTGCTGGTCACGATGCAGGTGCCATTCAGAGGGGACATCTCTGTGCTGCGGAACGTCTTGCTACAGTGACCTTTGAATTCACACCGCTGAGGGGCCAGCACCGAGTCCTCTCCCTCTTCTTTGGACCCCATCAACCTGCTTATTATATTTGATCATGTGCTTTATTATATGTACATATGCCCTGAAAAACCCTTCATAACTAGCAAAGCATGTAATTTAAAGGTGATGGTTTATGTTCTCTGCTAACTATTTTCCATCAATTTTTTAATATCAGAAAATTGTATTCCATCTGCCTTGATTTAATTTATTGAATAGTTAATTACTGAGCAGTTGTTACCTGTCAGACATTGTAGTACATTCTGGACAAAGATACAACCTCTACCCCAAAGGAGTTTCCACTGAAGAATTTGAGAGAGTCCATAACAATGCAATATAATAAGTAATAACAAAATTCATAAAATCATAGTGGAAGTTGTAACTGCTTGGCGGATCAAGGAAAACTTCAAAGAGAAATTATATTTATCCTGAGACATGAAGAGCATTTACTATATATTTACCTGTAGTTCTCTACCTCCATTTAATTTAGGAAGAGTTCTTAGCACAAATCAAAGACCATGGGCCACTTTTAAGGCATGCCTCACTCTCTTTCATTCCCAATAATGGAGAGAGAGAGTTTTGCTGGGAGGAATAAAGGTCAGTGTGTTCTTTCGTTCCAAATAAGACCAGAAGCTGACATGTCATCTATCATTTAGCCTTAGAGAGCTGACAGCTGACAAATTATTAAGCCTCTACAATTTAAATGTGTTTATTAAATTTCACGCTCAAAAACCAACTTCAGCTCTTAATTATGTAACCAGCAAGTTAGGTCCTTTGACATTAGGAAGGATGCACTATTATCCATTATTCATGAACAGCATGGAATAATGCTAAAGAGTGGGAAACATGTGAGAAAGTCTTGGGTAAATGAGTTTTAAAAATTGCTTACAACTAAACTTTTGACATTTGTTTTCTAGATTAAATTATTTTTGTTCACTCGTTCTTTCATTGCTTTAGAAAATATTTATCAACTGTTTATGTTTTATGAAATCAGAACTGGTTCTTACCTTAAAGGCAGACATTTGTTGTGTGTATTATTACTGTGGTGTTGTACTGTTGATAACAATAGTAAGATGACAGTTCAAGAAATCAGAAAATCATTTTCTTTTGTTTTGAAGACTATTTCTGACATCTTCTTTATTCAAATGCCCAGGACTGTTTCCTTATGCCCCACCTACATGAAATTTGCAATAGGAAGATACATTTCTGGACGAGTTTTTTGAAAGGCTGTACAGCAACACTGCATTTGCTCCATGAACAACTCAAAAATAGTTCTGAAATTCTCTCCACTGAAATTCCTCTGCATCATATGACACAAATTGATCAAAATGCCATATTATCGTTTGTTTCAGAAAAGGGAAAAAGATGTTGTAGTTGGTTGACTCTGATGTAGACACAAAAACTTACTTTTTAGGTGACTAATCTCCAAATTTCCTGGTTCAAGTGCTTTATATTTGCAATGACAAACTAGTTGTAGATCTTTTTTTAGAAATGATTGTTTTTATGGGACCTGTTTTTTATCATTGGGACTCTTACGATCTCCTTTTCCAACATCCTGGATTCCTGCATCTACATCCCTGTTGGTGTTTTTCAATAGCGGCCTCTCCTTCCTGGAGATCTGGTATACCACAACCACCATCTCAAAGATACTCTAGTCAATGAGCAGCCCTCTGGCTGGTTGCCTCTGGGAGACGTACTCCTGTCACCCCCTTGTCATTGCTGAGGTTTGCCTGCTCATCACCACAGCTGTGAACAGATGCTTGGCCACCTGCAACCCCTTCTATCACTTGACTATCAAGATACCTCATCTCTACACTGAGATGACTGAAGGTGTTTGCTTCTGTGGCTTCTTTACACCATTCCCCAAGACTGCTTGGATATCCACACTATCATTTTATGATCTGAATCAAATCCTGAGTATCTTCTGCCACTTTGATCCCACCCTGATTCTGACATGTATGGCTCCTGGTTGTGGACATTGCACATGGTATGGCGATGATCACAGCTATAAGGCTGGTGGTTGCGGGTCGATGCAGTGACCCTAAGGACCTGCTTTGTTAAATGGTGCCGAAAGATCTTTTCTACCTGTGCTTTCCATGTTGCTATTTTCTTGACGTTTTTTGGAAGTGTGGTTTCAGGGTACCTGTGCTTCTTTGCCAAGGCCTCCTTCTGCTGGACACAGTCATCAGCCTACAGCTTATAGTGTTGTCACTGTCCTTTAATCCCATTATCTGCAGTCTGAGAAAAGAAATCACAGAAGCCATAAAAGCACACACGTGTCAATCTATATTCAGACATCATATCAAATAAGACAAAATACATGACCATTCATAATATATTTATGCCTTTATCTATATTTATGTTTTCATAAACATATGAAACAGATACGTTGCTGCTGTTTTCTTTTCCTGTGCAGACAGTAAGTGGTCATTCTATCTCTGTGAAGTTAGAAATGTCCTCAGAGACTGATCAACCAGAGAATCTTCCCCAAAATGGGGTGAAGACTCACACAGTTTCCTTCTGTATCCTTTGAATCAGAGGGAATTATGCACAATTATACCTGTCCCCTGTCATCTCCTGCCCTAACTTACTGACACAGAAACAAACATGCTTTCTCTGCATTTTTCAAACACATTTCCTGGGCTCCTATTAAGTATGATTTTTATTCTATCTTATGTCATGGTTTCCAAGCCTTATGTGGGCCATCTAGTTTGTAAACTACTTGCAAGTTAGGTATTTTATTTTGTCTGTTAGAATTCTTTACCCGTAAGAAATGTTCAATAACGGTTTGCTGTAAGAGTAGATACATGATCAGGGGCAGTCTTTGTCACTTGAAAAAATTACAAGTTGCAAAAAATGTTATTAAAAAACTTGGGCTATTCTCACATTCAACAGAGAAGGAAGAGATAATGGGAACAGGCAATATATACAAGATATTTGTACACAAAGCCACTTTTAATAGTGAAATGAAGCCATGTCCCAGATAATACACTTAAATTTCTATGACTGGCATATATTTAGATGTTAAATAGATTTCCATTGATGTCCTAGGCATCTAGTCTCTTAAGTCTAAGAATTAAACTTCATAGCTCAGAAGGAGATAATATGTTTAGGTCTGGCAGTTGGTTCCCACTTTGCTTTATTCTAATGAGAAATAGTATTTTTCAGCTGAGCTCTTTTTTCACAGAGTGGGACCCTGTCACCAAACATGCATTTTTAGAAGGTTTATAAGGATGTAGGCTTCTATAGTTCCCTTCATGG